AGGGGGAGAAGGCCTTGAAGAGTTCTCGTATATCATTGTGCATGTCATTTCATCTATTGTCCATCGTATTCTAGTGTTAATCTCTTCTTATGTTTGTTTATTTTATTAAGACATGAATCATTGTTAATTTGTAATAGCATATATTTCTTTTGATCATTTGCGTGGTTATCTATTTATCAGTTTATATCCTTTCATTAACTTCATTATATGTGGATGTTTGTTAATGACTAACCTGTTACAAATTTGGTGAATTTGCTTATCTCATTATAATATGTCTTTCATTGACCTTTATCTTCTTTCTTTTTGATGTTGTCATAGGGGGAGAAGAAAATCAAGCAGAAACAAATCACTTTTACAAGACTGATCAAACGTGCAGGTCGTTTCTGGATAAATGCACGGAGTAAGGGGGAGGATGATACAACACATTATACTCAACTGTGTTTCTACTGTTTTGCCATCATAAAAAAGGGGGAGTATGTGAGGGCAAAGTGCCTCATACTTGGTTATACTTGTTTTAACGATGTTAAAACATATATAGTTTTAAAAAATGTACTTTAGACGGTATCATCGAGTCGCATATGCATACGTTATCTTTCTTGTGTCAAACATTTGTTAAAACATGTCTAGGTACATATAGAAAGAGCATTATGTGTGTTCTATATGAATTTGATCATGTTGGTCAAGATAAAGATGCATTAGGATCTCTTAGAAGTAGCTAAATATATGAAAATATGCATTTTTGCAAGTTCTGAGTCTTTGAGTCGACTTATAGCATGCTTAGGTCGACTCATACATAAGTCAATTTTCATGTCTTGCTCTCAGGAGAGCTCGCGTCGACCCTTCGGTCGACTCATACTGTGTGCATTTGTGCTTGTCAAAATTGGGGTGCTTTGCGTTGACGCATGGACCTATTACGGTCGACGCAAAGAGTTGTTTCCTACATAATCCAGAATTCAGAAGAGCTCAGGTCGACCCTCCCCTTGTTTTAGGTCGACTGCTCGCGCATTTCTCACAAAATTTCTGTTATGCTTAACATTCAAAGTGATTGTTATGTTGGTTATTTGGTTTCAAATTTGCATATATATTGAGTTAATTCATTCTACACAAAAATAACAAGAAAAATGAAAATATACACTGATTTGGTTCTCATCATCTTCATTCTCATTCTTGCATTTTCTCAACAACTACACATAATCACTTTTGTTGTATATTATGCATCATCGATGTGATAACGTCCAAACTTAGGATTGGTGTATCGGGTTTGGGTTGAAAAATCAATGTTTTTTTCTTAAATAAAATCTTGAGGGTTTTGTCCTCCAAGAATCTTGGATTTTGGGGGTTTTGCACAAATTGTTCCTTAACAGATTCAACCGAGCAAAGGTAATTGAAGAACGGGAGATTCTGTCAATTTAGTAGCGTTAACCGGAGGATTGTGGTAGGAAGGTTTGGGTTCAAATCGTTGGTGTTTGAAATCAGTCGGGCAAGATTTGAAGACCAGAGGGTTGTTCAAAGGTGGTGCCGTAATCAAAGGTTTACTCATCACGTTCTAAGGACTTGATTCATCTTGAATCAAGTGAAGAGAAGGCATAGGCTCGGCATCAACATTTGGGTTTGATTGTTTGAATTCTATTGCTTCTTTTGTAAAAACAATTTGCAATAGGTTATATATACAGGTCTCAATTCTATTTTTAGAATTGAGGGCAGACGTACCCCGAGCGAGGAAGGTCTCAATTCTATTTTTAGAATTGAGGGCAGACGTACCCCGAGCGAGGAAGACGGGGGAACTGTCTCAACAAATTGATGTTCTCTCTTTTTACTATTTTCATTGCTGAATTTTGAGTTTGTGTGCAAACATATTAGTTGATTAAAATTCTGGTGTGTGTTAGTGTTGAAACATTTTTAGAAACCTCATTACAATCTTTTGATTGTAATTGAAGAACATAGCACTTCATTCACCTATTAAAATTTACTTGAGGTGCTTCGCACACCAGGTGTTCGACTAATTGTGTGAACACACACACACTTGAGCTGTTTTTCAATTGGTTTATATTTCACACACATTGGAAACTGTCTAACTTTAAGTGAACAAAATCTGATTGATTTGTGTTCAAACTATTGATTCTAATTCTTGTCTTTATCGGTACTCCATATAGGCTTTGTGTATATCCAATCTTTTTGGTAACTGCTCGTTTAGACGAGTATAGTTCCTCGGCCGCTTCCACTTAAAACTTTTTAAAATCCAAATATTAATAAGCGTCGATTCTGTTTTTAATAAGTGATATATTAAATCCCCTTCTAGATCATTGTCATCGTCTAACACCTACTGTTGACCCCCTCCCCACTTCTTGCCCACTTCAAACATATCAACATCGTCAACCAATGTTTGTTGTACCTGTTTCTGAGGTCGTATCTGTTTGTGAGGTCGTACCTGTTTGTGAGGTCGTACATGTCTCTGAGATCATTTCAGACTCTCCTCCGAAGCTCTCACCAATACTGGATCTGATCCTGCCACCTGAGTCTGATCTTTCGATTGTCCTTCGAAAAGGTATACGTCAAGCACAAAATCCTTCTCCACATTACATTGATTTATGTTATCATCGTCTTTCTCCTTTGTAGTATACTTGTTTATCTTCTTTGTCTTCTGTTTCTATTCCTCAAAATTCAGGTGAAGCATTATCTCACCCTGAAGGAAAACAAGCAATGATTGATGAAATGTGTGCTCTTCAAAGCAGTGGTACCTGGAAACTGGTTCCTCTACCCCCTGAAAAATCTTTAGTGGGTTTTCGTTGGCTTTATATAGTGAAGGTTGGTCCCGATGGTAAGATTGATCGATTTAAAGCTCACTTGGTAGCCAAAAAGATACACTCAGATTTTTTGGGTTGGATTATAGTGATATCTTATCGCATGTAGCTAAGATGTCATCTGTTAGACTTCTTCTAGCCATTTTAGCCATTCGACATTGGTCTCTTCACCAACTTGACATTAAAAATGTTTTTTTTTACTTGGGGATCTTGAAGAGGAAGTATATATGGAGCAACCACCTGGTTTTGTTGCTCAGTGGGAGTCACCGAATATGGTGTGTAGGCTACACAGATCTCTTTATAGTCTTAAGCAATCTCCGAGAGCTTAGTTTGGCAGATTCAGTACTGTAGTACAACAATTTGGTATGGTCCGTAGTGAAGCTGACCATTATGTTTTTTTATCGTCACTCACCCCAAGGGTGTATTTATCTTATTGTGTATGTAGATGACATTGTCATAACTGGTAGTGATCAGCATGGAACACTCCAGTTGAAACAACATATCTCGAAACAATTTCAGACAAAAGATCTTGGTAAACTCTGATATTTCTTGGGTATTGAAGTAGCTCAATCGAAAGATGTTTTGGTGATTTCTCATCGAAAATATGCTATGGATATTTTGGAAGAAACAAGTTTGTTAAATGCTAAACCAGTCGATACTCCTATGGATCCAAGTGTTAAACTACTACCCAATCAATGGGAGTCTCTATCTGACTCAAGAAGGTATAGGAGATTGGTTGGAAAGTTGAATTATCTCACAGTCACTCGTCTGGAATGTCTTTTGCAGTCAGTGTGGTAAGCCAGTTCTTAAATTTCCCTTGTCAAGAACACATGAACGCTGTTATCCGAATTCTGAGATACATCAAATGTGCTCCAGGAAAAGGTCTTGTGTATGAGGATAAAGGACATACCCAAATAATTGGATACTTTGATGTTGATTGGATAGGATCACCCATTGATAGACGATCCACCTCTGGGTATTGTGTACTTGTTGGAGGAAACCTTATATCCTGGTAAAGTAAGAAACAAAATTTAGTTGCAAGATCAAACGTCGAGGCAGAGTATAGGGCCATGGCAATGGTAACATGTGAACTTATTTGGTTAAAACAGTTGCTCAAGGAACTTCAAATTAAAGAAGCAAGACCAATGACACTTATTTGTGATAATCAAATTGCATTGCACATTGAATCAAATCTAGTCTTCCATGAAAGGACCAAATATATTGAGATAGACTGTCACTTTTGTCAGAGAGAAAATAGAGTCAGATGACATCGTCACAAGTTTTGTCAACTCTAATGATCAATTGGAGACGTTTTTACAAAATCCATGCGAAGTCCTAAAACTAATTATATATGTAACAAGCTTGATGCATTTGACTTATATGCTCAAGCTTGAGGAGGAGTGTTGATATTTTTAAATATAGTGTTCAGAATATTTGTATATAGAATAGTCTCACATCGACTATATCATGTAAATAATTGTAATCACTATATATATAATAATGTCTCCGTAGTGCTTTTCAAAACACACGGTTTATTCAAATGTCTCTTAATCTCTTGTATTTTAACAATTTTCAAAAATAATATATTTTTAGTAATGATGTATAAATCTAACCATATACCTTGCACAAATCCATCCTTATTCAAGAAAAAATTGGAGACCAAATTCTTCCTTATCTCTAGAGTATGCATAACATTTTAAAAGATCAGTGTCTTTTCATAAGCGAACATCTCCAGTTCTAACAACTTTAGTGGTGTGTGCATACCCCAACACACTTTTATTCTCAACATATCACTTTGAAACACTACTGTCATAAGTTTCTTTTTGTTGTGACGCCATGTCATAAGTATTCTTTAAAACTCCTTCAAACACATACATGTCATATGCTCGAATAAACTCTTTCAAATAATTTATTCTAAACACACCATACTCTAATTACGATGGCTTTGTTACAATAAAACCAGAGAAAATCAAGAAGTTTCCACTGTTGTACCAACATAATCTATATACCATACGTTTTATAAGTTATAACCATTAAACATAACACAGATAACTACTCCTATGATAGTTACACGACAACGGATAAAGTGACAAGAACCTTAAATATCTCCTCAGAAAACAGACACAAAATCAGTAACACGTTAAAGATGTACACACGCACCCCCCTTATCCACAACAGGCATAAGCTACAAGATTGCATTCAGTAATGCTCGTCATACATTGTATGGTGACTATCACCCCATTGTGATTTTGTATGGTGACTACCTCCCCATTGTGATTTATCAGCCTGCAAAACAACAGCGCCGTTAGGTCAACAGAATCAAAGAATGATAATTCTGCAATAACCAAGTCTTACAGAAGGAAATACCCTATGGATCAGATTCTCAAACGCTTCTGTTCCATTTTCTTTGATGTACTTCTCTGCAGCAGTAATAATGTCATCTGGCTTAGAGAAGACATCCTTTTTCCTTGGAACATACCAAATGTTAATGGTCTGAGGATTGGCTAAGAAGGCTCTTACATAATGTTCATAAACATAAGCCGCGCCAGTAAAATAAGGAAGGACCAACCAGCAGGTTAGAATCAGCTTTGCATATGGCCATATAGGAATCCTGAAATATGAATTGTGAAAATTCAACCAAGCTTCTAAATATACACATAACAAGAATTCATACAAAGCTTGATGCAATGCAGAAAATGCATTACATCCAGTTAAATTATAAAGTATACTTCGGAACGAAGCTCATACGACTGTTCTACAATATTAGAAGTCACATTGAAAAGGGAAAATCATTAATCTTTTAACTCAATTAGAATGAAAACATGAATGATACTTGCAGTCAGAATTATTAGTGTCATTACAATACTACTACTAATCAGCACATTCAAAGGGCCAAGTAAATATACAAAGACCTGGTTATGAAAAATTACTCAGTATAGAACATTATAGCAGTTGACAAATATTTAAACATGATTGGAAACTAGAATAGCCCCACAGATTTGCGGGTGACCAAAATCAGGCAATGCTTAAAGATGATACTGAAAAATCCTTAGAACTAGTAATCCCTCCGATCTCATGTATAAGAAAATAAATAAATAAATAAATAGATAAAAACTTCACATTCTTTAAAATAAAGGTAGTTAATCTCATTTAATTTTCTCAATGTTATAAAAAAAAAAGTGATTGTATTCTCAAAATTTCCCCTTATGGAAAATCATTCCATGATGTTCAAATAGTTGTTGAAAAAATATTTAATCTAATTAAAGGGTATTTTAGGGATAATAATACCAAATACAGTAGAGTTAGCTAAAATTTGCTCATATTTATGACTACAAAATATGTTTTTCTTTTATTGCTTATGTTCTAAATTGAAGTGACTAATTAGTTAACCACATTTCCTTAAGATATCTCAACAACAACACCCACAACAAGTTGCAACCAAGTAAATGATGATAACCGTAATTAAAAAAATGAAGAAAAAAATGATACTAAAGAGTAAAAGGGGTATACCATTCAAGAATTTTGGCAAAAGTAAGTTCAAAAAGAGTGATCATGGAATACAGAACCCAGTAAGTAAGCCATTGCTGATCATCCACGGGAGACTTGCTCTCAATTGCCCTAACCGAAGCATATCTACATTGCACAAATGACAAATCAGTCCATTCTCAAATAATACCTTAACCCATCATAATACAATTCAGGGTATCGAAAAAAAAAGGATTGAGATTGTGCTTACAGAGGATAAACAAGACTAACCACAGGCCTGCAAAAGTAAAAACAATAACATAAACACAAGTTAAAAAGAAAAATCTGAATTGTAGAAAGAAAAAAACAGTCTTAAAAAAGAGTAAAGTAAAACACATTGAATAAATAGGTTTAGTAATTGCAAAAAAAAGAAGTGTCATTTGAAAAGAAGGAGAATAAAACGTACCCAGCAAGAACATCAATGTTTCGGATAAGGACCATAAGAAAATCACCGGCTCCAGATCCGGATCCAGATCCTCCCATCTTCGATCGAACACTCACCGCAACAGAGGAGGAAATTCTTTGGGAAAGAAAGATGAAGTGAGAGAGAGAGTGTGTGAGTTGGAAGTTTGTCTGAAAGGAATAAAGAGATAATGAGAGAATTATGGGGTATGTGTTTGTGTGCAGCGGAGACTAGAGTAGTAGTTTGAAGGATTGACCGTAGATTAGGAAAATGAGAATTTTGGATTTGAATTATGGATGAGATATTGGGATGGAATGGTGGACCACTGTGTTCCTGATGCAGGGAAGCTTGGTTCTAGTGGGTTCGGTGACCGAACGAAAATTTGTGGGCTCAGAATTCAGACTAGGGTCCCTAACTACTTTTGTTTTCTATATGATGAATTACGAAATTACTGCTGCCGACTTCTATTTGAGAATAAATTTTTTTGGACTCGTGTTTAGTGACCTATTGCGTCACGCAGTAACTACCGTCTAATTTTATTGAATTAATGGCTGATATTGTTTAATTGCGTTAACATGGAAGTATTAACCGTCGAGATTAACTCCACCGGCAAAATGCGTGGAACTGTATCTCAACAAATTCAGTTCCTCCTGGACCCGCTCCATTAGAAACGGGGATCTATGCCCCGCCCAATTAAATTTATATATTTTTTAAGGTAAATTTTTTGGTACTTATGAATCTAAATTGAATATTGGAACATGTAAATTGTAAAAAAAATTAATTCATTTTAAAATAAAACTAGTAACTAACTCGTTCGCACGGGTCTGTCTGTTCGAGAATTTTATATTATAGACACATAATTATTAATCAAATTGAAAAGAACAATGATAAAATTATAAAAATAGATATGATTGAAATTAAAAAATTGAATTGGTAAGTATGAGAAAATGTTGTGTATTGTAAAAGAAGGAACTAAATTAATTATTGATATAAATTTAACTAATGTAATAATGATTGAAAATATTAAACAAAAAATATTAATCAATAGGTAGACCAAAAACAAATGAAACTAAATAATAATAGTAAATTTAAGAATAATAATATGATTAAAACTTAAGAATAATAGTAAAATTAGGTTGAAGTGATAATATATGTGGAAGATGAAAGATAAACAAAAATATCAATAATATAAATACATAAAACTTTGAAGAATTGTACGTGATTTGTGATGATTTCTTTCCAATTATATAAATAAACAGGTGAGGTACCAAAGGCATAATAATGAATAACAGCAGACACAACTCTTTAAGACTTACCACAAACTTAAAATATCTTTAGATGAATATTATATGACTTATTGATCAATTAATAACTAACACAATATATACATACTAAGCATGATGCCAAGTGCTACCAAGTATATATACTATGCATGATCAATTAATAACTAACACAGTATATACATACAAAATAACATAAGTATTGGTCATATTTAATTCCGCTGGAGGACGTTTCATATATATAAATTTCAGTAGATAAATGGAATGAATTCACATTAATAGTTTCAAATGACAACTTAAAATGACTGGAACATTGGCAATAACTGGAACATTGGCTCATTGGCATTAACTGGAACAATGCTTCAAATGACAGACCATTATGCAGAATTCTATAATTTACACTTTGATGATCGTAATCATCGTTGCAACACCTATACACAAAGGCAGCAAGATCGAATTGACGAAAACCTTTTCACGACAGAAACAACAGTTTTCTTTGCCGACATTCCATCCATTTCTGTAAGCAGTTGATTCAAAACCCTGTCAGCAACACCACCAGCATCTCCAGAACTTTTTCCTGTCTGCAAGATAAGACACACAAATTTAAACAGTTACTTATGATTGTCTGCGCATCCAATAGTTGGTCTCTTCAAGATTAGAAAATACATTCATTTATAGGAAATTCCAAAATCTCTTGAAAATAAAACCTGACAAACAATTTACATAGCTTAAACCCCAGGCTACCATTAATCATTGTTGCTACAATTACCAACAATCAGTGGCGTCTTGACTTTTCCAAAACTTTTTATAAATACATTGAATATATCAATGAAAAAGCTAACGTACCTACACCACGACCTTCCAGAATCTCCATAGTTATCGATCGTGAAACAACATCTTTGAAAGCAAGAAAATTTGTTGTGGTAGCATATCATTCCATATACTGCTCCCCCTCGCTATTCCTATGAATTCCACCTTCGTCGCGAGAGCCTAAAAGTCCAAAATAAAATTTTATTGTTTAAATACAAACCGCGGCGGCACCACCGATCCAACAATGTCTGTTTCAGTACACATAGCAAATTACTGTCATAAAATCGGGCAAAGAAACAACCCTACACTAAAATGCAACCTATAACTTGAACTAAATCTTTCAATCAGAAAAACAAAACCGACACGGTAGAGGATGCATAAGCATAACTCAACACATAATCAGTATTACACACATAATAATCATAGAATTTTCAACTAAATCAAAATAGAAATACAATTTATTCCTTGTATACTAAACACGCAGTGAGCCAAAGACCAAACTCCATTCACGCGAAAAACCGAATCAACGCGTAATTACCGGCAACTTTGTAGTTTTGCAAAGCAGAAAAATGAATATATATGCAGGATAACCGGAGATATATTGAGCTGAAAACATAGTCAGCATAACTGCCTGTGCTATATATTGTATCATTCCAACATTGCTCTTAATACACAACAACCATTGATTTTTAACAAAAAAACAGACAATGTATAAAGCAAACGAAGAAGTAGGCTATAGACAGTAAACAACATCGAGTCACAACATAAAATGGTTCAAACTTGTAACGACGTTCTCGGTTCGAAATGTTACCAAAAAGTGTGAGCTGTTAATCGGTAGCTGAACATTGCGTTGCGGTGATGCCGATGTCATTATCGTTGAAGGCAAGATGGAGGAGGTAGTTTGATGCAGAATCGAAACTCATACAATGAAGTAAGCAAATATCTCAAGTAATTATGGAGCTAAAATTAATCAAAGTATACAAAACAAAGGCGACGAAATAGGACCCTTACACAATTTTCATCTCTGCAATTTCAGATAGATTTAAGGATTTTGCTTTAGAGAGATATCTAGAGTGCAGAGAATATTCTTCAACTGCAGACAATGGTGGTCCACCTAGGTCACCGTGTAACGTCCATTTTAATTATTTAATCTTTCTGGTGTTATTTTAATTCGGCATGTCTTTTGTGGGGATTATTTAAGAAGCTTTGGTCTTTAATATTAATATAATAAAATTGATAATGATAATAATTTGATAATTAATAGTAATGGTATTATTATTATTATTATATTATTATTATTATTATTATTATTATTATTATTATTATTATTATTATTAATATTATTGGAATTATATGGGAATTAAAAGAAATGGGGAATAAGTGTGAGAAGGGATATTTGGTGAGTTCAGAAAGAAAAGGAGGAACACGATCAAGTGGGAGAGAAGAACAAGAACAAGAGGAAGAAGAAGAAGGCTAGGCTGTCAAATTTGTGGAAGTTTTCATCGATCAGAGAAACTAGTCGAGGTAAGGGGGGAGAAACAGGTTTAAATTAGTAATTGCATGAATAGGGTAGTTGGGGATTCCTTAACCCCATAGGAATTTGATGATCATGATTAAGATGTTGTAGTATTCTGATTGTTGTTTCCATGAATAAATTGTGTTTATGTTGTTAGGAATTGGTGAAATTTTGTTATGCTAGCCTTGCATGTGATTATGTAGGGATTTGTTGGGTGTTCTAAGTAGTTTACCGTTTAGGTCAAAAATGATTTAATCGGTAGAGTTGGTGTTTTATCGGGTAGGGTCTGGAATAAACAATGTGGTTTAGTAGTAGAATACTAGGCTAAGACTACTGGGACTGGTGTGGTGAGAATCGGACAATTTTTGGAGCTTCTGGTGAATTTCTGAACAGTGAGGTTTTTGTGAAATCGCAGACATTCGCCAACACCTTCGTTGAGCGAGCTAGTAGCGAGCATTCGCTAGGGATTCTCTAGGCGAGTTGGGTAGCGAACACTTCCAATAGCCATTGTATGCACTCGCTAGCAGGTTCGCTAGGCGAATGAGGCAGCGAGCGTTCGCTAAGGCCTCGCTAGGCGAGTGAGCTAGCGAGCGTGACAGAATGTGGGTTTTATGTTGTTTTGCCTTGTGAATTGTAACACCCCCTTCTATACCCCCAAATAAACAATAAAAACAATTAAGCACGTATTCAAAATTTCATCAGAGTAACGTTTAAAACATGGTATAAAAGAGACATGCCACATCAAACACCAAAACATACAACACCTGCTCTATAAAAGACATGCAACAGTGGGGTAGCTATTAACAGAGGAACTTCGTCCTTATACCCACTTTTCAATATATAGAATTAAAAGTGGAAAATCTAAACATTGAATCATTTAAACATGTAATCATATAATTTACATATCACCAAGTTTGATTCAAAATATCATCATGTTACGAAACATCTGCCAACAGATACATATACACAATGTATCCCAAAAGAATGCTATACAAGCCTAACTACCCGGTGCTACATATCAGAGCGAACCGACCAAAAGAATGAAGCTATACTTCACAAAAAGGATCTCCCGCCATCCTAATCTGCAATGCCTCACGAAGCATTATAAAACAGCAGAAGAGTGAGAAATATTACCGTAATAATCAATGCATATAATCATATATATATATATATATATATATATATATATATATATATATATATATATATATATATTCGTAAACATAATAATACATATATTTCACATTCTCACCACTCCTCATCACAATCATCATATGCATCAAAATATATGCATAAACCAATAATGGATAATCGCCAAACATGTTTCATCATGTACACATCCATAATTCTCGACTCAAATCATTCATACACAACCGTTCTCTCCTACCACGAATCACTTCCACACCATGTGGTTTATACAACTCGTCACTCTCATAATTATCTATTCGAGACTATGGTACATCGCTCGTACCCC